GGGGGGGAGGGGGACCCCAAAAAGGGGGGGTGGGAACCCAAAAGGGGCGGTGGGACCCCATATAGGAAGGGGGAGATCCCAAAAAAGGGGGTGGGAACCCAAAAAGGGGGGGGGAATCCCAAAAAGGGGGTGCAGGACCCCAAAAAGGGGGGTGGAGGAACCTAAAAAGGGGGGTGGGAACCCAAAAAGGGGAGAGGAACCCAAAAAGGGGGGAAAATCCCAAAAAAGGGGGGGTGGGAACCCAAAAAAGGGGTGTAGGACCCTAAAAAAGGGGTGCAGGTCCCCAAAAAGGGGGGGAGGAACCTAAAAAGGGGAGTGGGAACCCAAAAAGGGGGAGAGGAACCCAAAAAGGGGGGGAAATCCCAAAAAAGGGGGGGTGGGACCCCAAAAAGGGGGGTGGGAACCCAAAAAGGGGGTGCAGGACCCCAAAAAGGGGGAGTGGGAACCCAAAAAGGGGAGGATTAAATGCGAAGGACCCCAAAAAGCGAGAGGGGACCCCAAAAAAGAGGATGTGGGACCCCAAAAGGGGGGGTGGGAACCCAAAAAGGGGGTGTAGGACCCTAAAAAGTGAGTGAAGGACCCCAAAAGGGGAGAGATGGAGTACGAAGGACCCCCAAAAGTGAGTGGGAGACCCCAAAAAGTGGGTGCAGGACCCCAAAAAGTCATTGGGGGACCCCAAAAAGGGGAGGATTGAGTACAAAGGACCCCAAAAAGTGAGGGGGGACCCCAAAAAGTGGGTGCAGGACCCCAAAAAGTGAGTGGGGACCCCAAAAAGGGGGAGATTAAATGCAAAGGGCCCCAAAAAGTGAGTGTAAGACCCCAAAAAGTGGGTACAGGACCCCCAAAAAGTGAGGGGGGGACTCCAAAAGGGGGGAATTAAATGCAAAGGACCCCAAAAAGGGGGTCCCCAAAATCCTCTGGGCCCCCCTTTGGGGTGGGGGGGTCCCCAAAATCCTCTGGGCCCCTCCTTGGGTGGGATGGGGGGTCCCGTTTCCCCCTTTAGGATTTTGAGGACCCCTCCCAAGGTGGGGGGAGCCCCTTTGGGGGTCTCAGGGGGTCCCCAAAATCCTCTGGGGCCCCTTTGGGATGTTGGGGGGGTCTCCAAAATCTTCTGGGCCCCCTTTGGGTTGGGAGGGGGGTCCCCAAAATCCTCTGGGCCCCTCCTTGGGTGGGGT